GATAAACACAGAGAGCCATCAAAACATTTTGATTCCAAGAGCATGAAAACTCAAAATGTCTGTAAAGCTTACAGGAAAAAACAGGATAACTCATTGACCCCCTTAGGAGGATGAGATGCTGCTAACGATGCTAAGGCTCTAACAAACAACACCCTTTGTAAGTAGGTGACTTCTATGTCTAAGTTTAATGGTCATACATAAGAATACACTCAAAAGATGCCTTTTTTTTTTTAACAAAGGGCTGTGGTTGAGTTTCTGAACAGAGTAAGTAAAGAATTCCAGATCATATCAAATGAGTTGTCTATAGTAAAATATGTTCAGTTACTAACTATGCTCAAAGGAACTGAATATTACACCAATGCAGATCACTGCTCTCAAATCCTCTTGGAACCCTCGTGCAATTTGATTGCATTTCGGAGTATGCTTGGAATGCAAGTGTTAATCCCACATTAAATAATAAATTTAAGTAATAAATTGGAATTCCTTTTGAGGTAGCACAGGATATTCCATTAGTTATTCTCTTTTAAGGTTAATCCTTTTCTTTAAAACAAAACTGAAGATATTTTGTATTTAATTTATATAAATATATATGTATACACACATACACACACGCACATATTCTGATCTCACAAATTCTTACATCACTGTCCAATTATTCCCATAGCATTTTGAAAAATTTAAGGACCTTATACCATACATGAATATATAACTATAAACAGGCAAATGACAAGGCCAAATACTCATTTGCTTAATTGTTCAGAGTATGGAATCTCAAATTGAAAACAACAGGAGGTACTAAACTATTACAACAACAATTATATGAGGAAGGACTTGCCCTGGTTGTAGAAATTTTGCTATGAGAGGAAGAAACAGATTAGGACCAATATAGCAGCCTTCAGACTGAAGCCCAAGGGCACAAAACAACTAAAGCTTCCTTAATTCCAATTGATTTCAGTTGAGAATGGCATAAGCAGCCAAGTGTATGATAGGATACCAAAGCCAGGCTCAGAATTAACCAGGTGAGATTTTTTTGTATGGGAATCTGAGTCAAGAGGGTCCTACCTTAGCTTCCCAAGATCACCTTTCCAACTTTTTTCGCAGGGACAGATATCCACTGACTTAACTTCAGTTGAGCTGCTGGCATTTCCCCTGAAGCAGTGAAACATTGGCTCAAGGACATTAAAAAAAACCCTGAAAAGGAAGTTCAAAAACAAAATTCATAGCCCCAAAGCTTTAACTTCAGACAGGAATCTCATTAATCACAGTGGGCTTGGATACAATTGTTATTAACACCATCAAACTTACAATAAATTAGCCAGCAAGTAAAAAGTTAGCAGGCCTTCTTAAAAAAATTATATAAAAGATTTTGTGTAACATTCTTTTCTTCTAATATTTCCCCATCTCTAATACAGCTTAAAATTCAATCTGATGTAATAAGGCAGTTATTAGAATTTAATAAAGCTACTAACCCTTTAAGGCAAAAATATATTCCTAAGACTGTAGTCCATTGAGATTAGATTGGTTAAAGATGTTATGTCAGTACAGACTATTCCAGATATAACTTCATAATTCACAATAAACCATCCTATATTATAAACAATTTCCTCCTTACTCCCCCCCATCAAGAAATATTTGCAACGGGGGAGGGGAATTCAGTTTTCTGAGTTGAACAATGCACAAATTCTTTCACAGAGCTGCAAAACTTTTATGAGTGATAGCTAACTTCAGATAAAACTTCCTCTTTACTATAGGCAAACGTGGAAGGTTCCAGTTTCTTAAATTACAGTACTGCAGAATATTAACAATTTTCAAACATTTTCCTTTCTTTAAACAATTCATTCATAATCTAGCAACATATGGATTGGAAGAGAATTTGCATTCCTGACAGCATATCTGTATATCATAAATAACATTATGAATTTGAAACTTGAAACAAAACCCATTACCAGTCAGGCGACCTCAATTCAGTTGAATGCATTTCTAGATTACCTTACATAGAAAATTGCATATGGCTTTAATATAATAGAATGAATTTAGGTAGAACTTGTTTCCTTTTACCAAGTTTCACAATACATGCTTATGCACTTAATTTTTCATGAACAGTACTAGGAAATACATACACAGCTTTACCAATTTAGTTCCATAATTGTTATTATGTTAGCTCAAAGTATGTTGGGCTAAGTGTTATAAGCCATTGCTGTTAAGATTCCAGGTAGAGGACTGTTTTTTGAGTTTTTTTTTTTGGGGGGGGGGGGTTTCCAGCAAAAAGCCCTAAGGAGTTTGATCTGCTGCTGGCATAGCTGACACATCTCAAGTCTTTCAGTTTTCACAAACAGAGTTAATGAAAGGAGATAATGAAATATGTCCAGTACACTTCCCAGATTTATTGTGAATAAAATGCTTTACAAACCTTAAAGTGCTATATAAATGTCAGCTATTATTACTATGGCAAAAAAAGATAATTTAAAATGATTTAGGCTAAAGATAAATGCTTTGAAAATCTATGATTTCAGACATGAGAGCATTTTCTCCATCAGTGAAGACCACAAGTCCTCCACACTTCAATAGAGCATCTTTTGGAGTTGCTGGGGCTGAGCAAGCCCTAAGATTACTGGGTCTGTGCCACCATTGCTAATATCAAGATTGAAAAATTAATCATAATCAGTTTCTAAAGAAAAACATCTACGTATTTGTTTGCTTTTTCTGATTTAATATTTATGTAATGAAAAACCTTTACAAGAGGGCAATCATAATAAAAGATGATATGGCCCCCTTTTTTCAGAGCTGAGAAATTATAGCCTTTCAAAGATTTCATACCTAAAGGAAGGAAACAACCATCTGTTGAGTGCCGACTTTGTGCCAGGCACTTTGGTAAATGCTTTACAAATACTATCTAATTTGATCTTCACAACAACAACTCTGTTCTTCCTGATGATGGTGAGTCTTCCCTGTGGGACAAAGAGCAAGCTCCCATTCAGGCCAATGGATTAGCTAGGTTTCTGGGCAGGCAGGTGCTGTTATGATCCCCATTTTACAGTTGAGGTAATTGAGGCAGAGGTTAAGTGACTTACTCAGGGTCATATGGCTAATAAAGGGTCTGAGGCAGGCTCTGAACTCAGGAGTGGTAGAATGCTTAATATTTGTCTTTAAGTAAGTGAAGGGCTATTAGGGGAAGAAGCTTTACACTTGTTCTGCTTGACCCCAGAAGAAAGAACGAGGAGCAATGAGTGAAAAATGTCAAGATAAATCAACAAGTATTTATTAAATGCCTAGTATGTGCCAGGCTATTTGCTTTGCAAAGAGGCAAATTTAGCATGAGGTTATGAAAAACTTACTAATCCAGATGTAGAATGGGGTGACTCTGGAGGCATTGCATTTCTCTTCACTAAACATCACCACATAAAGGCTAAATGTCCACTTACAGAAGATACTGAAGTGAGCATTGCAAAACCAGGACTCATAGATGAACCACAACTAGGCACTTATGCAATATTGTCTCAGGAGATTAAGACACTTTCACCTAAAAATCAAAAATTAAAGGCCTATAGAGATAAAAAAAAAAACTTAACCAAATCTATTACTGTATTTTGTTTCAACCTAAACAATCTGGCCTGTTTATTGATATTTCCATCTTGATAGAATTACACCCTTCTATTTCAAGGTGGCTGGATCAGTTACAGTGTTAGCCAGTAAGGAATAGCTTGAGTATTGACCAAGATGTACCAATCTTTTCTATCTCCCTCAGGGCCCAGCAGGACATTGCATATAATGATTGCTTAACAAATGTTTGTTAAGTGAATGAGTAACTTTGGGGTTAAAGTAGTTCAGTAGGTATATGCTGGGCTTGAATACACTTTCTTGAATTTCTCCATAGTAGTGGTAGTAGTGAAGACCTTTGGCACCAAGATCTGTGGATTAGAGTGCTAGGCCTGGAGTCAAAAGACTCGACTTCAGATAAGGTCTCAAACTCTTAGATTAGATACATAAGATTCCTAGCTGTGTGCCCTGACCCGGGGCAAGTTACTCAACGTGTTTGCCTCAGTTTCCCCATCTGTAAAATGGGGGTAATAGTAGCACCTCCCAACCAGGGGTTGTTGTGAGGATCGAATTAAATAAATATGCACAGTGCCTGGCATAAAGTACACGTTTTATATAAACGTTAGCTATTATTATGTTTGACAAGCTGTCCTTTTGTATCCCAATAATCATTCTTCAGGGTACCTTTGTAGTTTGTCATAAACCCGTTTTTAAAATGTTTGAAAGTCAAATCCCTCGTTTGCAATTAATGCTGAAGCTTAGAACTCCCCACACACCCCCCATACATTTTTCCGGGAACTACTGACCTCTGCTCAGCAGGAGGCCATGGGGGGTCGGGGGGGTGGGTGGGCAGGAAGGGAACAGCAGCCAGTGGATTCGGCTTTTAGAGGGGAGAACCACGCCACTCGAAGCAGGAGCGGAGGGTGCAGGGTTCTCGGGGGACCCCGCATGAGGGGAGCAGCTCACTTGGACACCTGGCGTGGGGTGATTCAGGGTGGGGGCGGGGAGGAGGAAGGGGAGCAGCACAGCTGCAGCAGCTCTCTAAGGACGCCCTTGAGGGAAGACAAACGGAACAACAGAGGGGCGGGACAGCGGGCCATCTAGCAGGTCGCTAATTGGGGAGCGGACTACGCCGCGGTCGGCCAATGGGTGGGGACCCACTGATTCAGCCAATCCCGAGGAGCCCAGAGGCTCTCGCCCCGCCCCCTTTTCCTCCTCTCCTCTGGGCGGGGAAACTGGCATTCCTTAGCAACCTTCAAAGTGGGTTTGGCGGTGCTTTACGGCCCCCTCCCCTCATCCACCAAAAGAGGGGAGGGAAAGGGGTGTGCAGCATACGTGAAACCAATCAGTGGCTCGCTCCTGCCCCCTGGAGCTCGTCACCCGGGAGACGGAGCGGGGGGAGGGAGAAGGGAGGGTGCCGTAAAACGCGGGCGGCGCTGTGGTGAGGCGCTACTGTTGGGGTTGGTGGAGTGGAGCTTTCTGCCCGTCGGGGCCGGGTCGGCTGGGTTGTCGTCGGGGTAGAGCCGACGCGGCAGCGGCGGCAGAGCTATGGCGGGGGCGCTGGTGCGCAAAGCGGCCGACTATGTCCGGAGCAAGGACTTCCGGGACTATTTGATGAGGTGACAACAGAGGGTCCGCGGGAGGGGGAGAGGAAGCCACCGGTCCCCTCCTCGCCGCGGTCCGTCGCGGGCGGCCGCCCCGGCGTGAGACCTGCGCGGCGGCTGCACCTGCCCGGGCTCGGTTCCGCTAGGGCTGACTGTCGGGAGGCGAGGGGCAGCCCCCGCCAGCGTTAGTCGAGCGTTTTCCTCTGGTCCCAGCCCGGCGCCGTGAGGTTTGCAGTTGGGGTCCAGCATTCTCGCCCTCGCTGATTTGTTTTATAGATGACGAAACTGAGGCTCAGAGGCTCCAGCCGCCCTGGACCGCCGTGGCTAGAAGGGTCAGTCAGAGCCAGGACTCGAGCTCCGGCACGGCTTCCCCTGGCCGGCGGGTGGGGGGGCGCGGGGGCGGAGGCGCGCACTCTCCCGCTGTGCTGGCGGAGGGGGTGGGGCGCCTTTCCCTGCGGGGGTATTTCTGGGCTGTGTCTTGGGGCGAGCCCCGGGGCCTGGCTCGGATCCCCTTTTCCAGCTGTCGAAGCGGCTGCCGCTTGGATAATAGGGTCATGTATTTAGAGCTGGAATGGACTCCAGAGGCTATGAATCCAACCCTCTTGTTTTACATACGAGGAAACTGAGGCACTGAGGGCGTAAGTGACTTACCCGGTCTCACACCACCAAATGTGCATCGAGGGGTTAAGTGACTTATCTTGGGAAACACCACTAGTAAGAGCCGGAGGGAGGATTTGATCCTGGATATCGCCCTGGAAATCACTTGAACCCATGAATCCAACATGATCGTTTTACAGAAAAGGAAACTGAGGCATCGAGCGGTTAAGTGTTCGAGTGTGATTTGATCCTGGATAGACCAGAAAGTAGTATAGCCCAGTATAGAAAGTACTTTAGAAAGCTTGAGTCCAATCAGCTCATTTTACAGAAAAGGAAACTGAGGCACAGAAAGGTTAAGTGACGTGTCCTTAGTCACACCATTACTACATGTTTGAAGCGGGATTTGATCCTGGAAAGTACTTTAGGGGCCATGAATACAACCTGCTCATTTTACACAAAAGGAAACTGAGGTATGGATAGGGTTAAGTGACTTGCACCGACCCACAACAGCTAGAGTGTGAGGCAGGATTTGAACCCAGTTCTTACAGACCCAAGTCCCAGTGCACTCTTCTTCTAACATCCGATGAGTGTCAAGAGTGATTGTCCCAGCTTGGGGAAGGAGAAGGGTGAAGATCCGGGTGCTAATTGTTCATTTTAAAGTTGCTAAATCAATCCTCCTCTTCTCCCCTCCCCCTCCCCAGACTGAAAGAATCCGGGCTGGGGCAGATCAGGTCATGGTCTTAGTTGTGGCTGGTTAGCTCTGGGCCTTTGACTGAACAACTTTGCAGGCAGTTTAGGGGCCAGGGGCAAGGGTTATTGATGTCTTGTAGGTCCTTATTAGAGAGGAATTGCATGGCCTTCTGGAAGTCTGCCCAGCCTACCACCATGCCTCATAACTAAAGTGGCTTTGAACCTGTTTATTTTTTAGAATTTGGGAAAGAAAACTTGTATGTCCTGGACTTAAGGCCATGTTGTCCTAAGCTTTATTTTTGCTAGGAAGAGCGCTTATTGGGGGAAAAAAAATTAAGATGTACATTTACATTTATGAGTGCTTGTTAACTGATTTGCAATTTACTTGTAATAATAGGTTATATTTTGTATATCTTACCATGTTGGCCTTACAACAGACCTGTGAAATAGGTAGTAGGAATTGTTCTCTGCCCATTTTACAACTGAGGTCCTGAAATGTAAATTAACTCAATACTAGGTTACTGGCTTGTTATGAACCAGGATTGGAAGCCCAATACTTTTAGGGTTGTGGTGGACTCCTATTTGAGGACTTTCCTGATCTCTCTTCCAGGAGTGGGTAGTATTTTCCTTTCCATCTTACTTTGTATTCATTTTGTATATACTTTGCATTTACTTTTTGGTGTACCAGTTGTATCTCAGTAGAAGTCCTGCTTTTTGTTGTTGTTGGGGGTGGGGGGAGAGGTCTTTTTATACCTGAAGCCTCACACACCATAGATGCTTATGGAATACTTACTGGATTGAATTTGTACTTTGGGAGGTTATGTTTCCCATCCTGAACAACCAGGCCTCCAGCTCTAGGGAGGTGGTTGGAGGCTGTCCATGGAGATGGAAGGAACCTTAATCTGAGAGTTTACTAGCACTGGCCAGCTGCCTATTATACATTCTTCATTCACCTGGCATACAGGTGACTACATCAAGATATATGGCTGGTCTTTTTAGTACTATAAAATGTCACAAGAAAAGTCACCATCTTTTGACCTTGTTTTTGACCTCAACCTCCTTTTCCTTCCACTCTCAGCTCCCAGCTGATTAGGGATTTGAGAGCTGCAGGCAAATACACCAACTTGTCCCTTCTAGTAAAATAAGACTAAATGTGGTGATTGTTTTACAAGTCTACTCTTTATTTAATAGAAGAACTTTACATTAAAATGGTGGAGCTTTATTTTATGTTAAATAACTAAATGGTCTTTATACTATAGACTGAGCATTTGTCTGTGGTGTGATTTAAGAGCTTTACACATCACTCTTAAACTCCTTTTCTCCTTCATTTACATGTTTTATTTTAAGTTATAGTGAAAGGACACTCAAGGTGAAAAGCTCCTTTTGACCTGGTCTGTTTTCAGCACCCATTTAACTTTGATTTGTAAGCTTTTCCTTTATAGCATATCTAGCACAACTAATTTTGAAATTAGTACTTCAAAAGATATGTCATTTAGGAGCATAACTAATATATAGAAATTTGGCTGAAAAACTAAGTGAAAGCAGGCTCTCTTTAGTTAGCTGATTTTTAATACAAAAACATGCTAATTGGTGAGAGAACTTTAGAGAACTCTGCTTTGGCATTGATCTCGGCCTCAAGGGCATTTTGCAGATGTGATGTATTTGTACAATTCAGTAAACGTTAACTTTGTAATGCTGTATTTCACTGGAAAATACTATTAATATCAATTTGAAATACTAGCAGCTAAGAAACTTAATGCACTCTCTCTTGTGAAACAGTGAACTAGGGAACAAAAGCTATTGACTGTCAATACTTCCCTATCCTCAGATGAGAAGTAACAAAAGAAATCCAAAAATGATTTGGGTGGTGGGAGATTTTATTTTGTTTTAAATTTCAAAAAAAATCAGTAGACATTTTGGAAAAAGCAGCCTAAAGTAATGGAAGGAAGGAAGGAAGCAGTAAACAGACAGATGTCTGCTATTGAAATAACTTACAGACCTGAGTGCTACTTTAGCTGTTTACTACCATCGTTTTTTCTGCTAGTAAAATGAGGCCTAATTTATAATTTTATAGGCACTTATGAAGTATATTGAACAGGTGACATATAGCAAGTTTTTTTTTTTAATACTGGAAGAAGTTTGTTAAATAGATATCATTTAATTGAAAATATTTTCCATTCCTTTGTTGTTCAGTCGTGTCCACCAGTTTGTGACCCTTTTCTTGGCAAGGATACTGTTTGGGATTTTCTTGGCAAGGTTGCTTGGAGTGGTCTGCCGTTTTCTTCTCCCAGTCATTTTACAGATGAAGAAACTGAGGCAAACAGGGTTAGGTGAGTTGCTCAGGGTCACATAGCTAGTAAGTGTCTTGAGGCTTCATTTCAGCTCATTAAGATGAGTCTTCCTGACTCCATGACCAGCACTATCTACTATACCACCTAGCTGTCAGGTTTCTTTAGGATCTGCCTATTTCTACTACTAGCATTCTATTGAATGCTTTAACTAAAACTAATAACTTTAGAGCTGGAAGTTATCTTGGAGGTCATTTAGTCCATTTTCCCCTCATTTTTCATATGAGGAAATTGATACCTAGAGGGGGTAAGTGACTTGCCAATGGCATACAGATATCAAAGGAAATTTATCTTATTCTTAGATGAATTTTTTTCAAATAATTCACTTTTTGTAATATTTTCCCCATTTTTTTCCTAATAGATTTTCAGGAAGAGAGTTACTGTTGAAAATAATCATGTTGTTGTGAACGGAGAGGAAGATTTCTAGTTTTATAGTTTTTAGTAAGAAGAATGAGAAATCTGAATCTGAAATATAAAATTAATTGGTTTTAAAGTGTCAAACGTGTGTTGTAGAAACATACAGATGATGTGATGTCAAGAATGGAGATGTTTTCACAGAGTAATAGTTTAAGAATCGAAAAGAACCTCAATGGCTATCTAATCCAACCCATACCTGAAAAAAGAATTCCCTGAAAGTATCTCGAGGCCTTCCCATACTGGGGCAGCCAGACCTACAGTTAATTGAATAGTTTAGGGCTATCCACAGAGATGGAAGGAGTCTCAATCTTAGAATTTGCAAAAGGGACAGTTGCCATATGTCTATTTTTCATTCACTAGGCATATAGATAAATTTTTCAGGATACATAGCCTATTTATCCCCACAAAGTATCAAAAGAAAAGTCCTTAATTTTCTTCATATCTCGACAGAGTATGACTTCATTTTTGGCCCACCCTATGCTTGTGTGCCATCAGGGTGCTTCAGGATGACCAGAAAAGACTTAGCTGATTGGGGTTTCCCCACTTCTTTTTGTAGATCTATTTTTTTCTAATAGAAACTCACTCCTGAAAAGACTTCTCTTGTCTCACCAATCTTAACAGGACTGCCTTGACCCAATAGCTAGAACTCTAGATAGTTTTGAAGAGTACTTTGTGACTTTATGGGACTCTGTCTATGGGGTTTTCTTGGCAAAGATACTGGAATGGTTTGCCATTTCCTCTTCTAGTGGCAGACAGAGATTAAGTGACTTGCCGAAGGTCACACAACTAGAAAGTTTCTGAGGCTGGATTTAAACTCAGGTCTTCCTGATGCCAAGCCCAGCACTCTATCAGTTGTGCCACTCATCACCCTCCCTTGCAGATTCCCATCTTCTGGCTGTACTTTATCTTTATAAGACCAGGTATGCTACCTAAAAAGGGACAGAGAGCATACTCCCTCTGGAA